TACTAAACTGTTTACTATATGAGTGTCGCTAAAAGAAAACCCGACAATTTAAATATAACTTATATTTATATTTTCGGGTTTTCTTTTAGCGACTCCCATATTATTTTCTAATCTACGAATGACACATAACAGAATGGATGCGTAACAAGTACACGTTTACAACAAAAATTATTCGTATATTAACGGTTAATTTTTTGTTACAGCTATTATATATCAATGCACACATAAAGCCCCAGCCCTATAAAACGTCGCCATTTTATTACTAATATTAATTATATGAACTAAATATCATGGCGCGTCTTTAATAAAGGTTGTGTTGATAGTAAATTAGTCAATTATATATGAATGTCTTTCCATGAACGTTATAGTGGGATTTCTCACTGGAACCGTTGGAACTCTGAATTCAAATTCCAGTAAAAACACTGAATCGGATTAATTCTAGCCAAATAGAATTCTTGTCGATGCAAGAGGTTTTACGTATAACGATAAACTGTGTTGTGGAGACAACCTGTTCCGATTAGTTGTAGTCACAGGCTTTCAATTTATATTATCATTTATCATTATTTTGTAAATCGACTATTATAAATATTGCTAAAACTATTGTCAAACCAGTCAAATTTCCCGTTTGATTATATATGCATATATTTGAATAATAAAAGGTCTTGGCATAACGATAATAAATACAGCATATTTTTAGATATATCTGTTGGGTCCGATAAAAACATTATACGTAACAACATAAGTTATACTGTATTGGTATACATAACAATAAGGATAGCGACAATAATTAAATAAAAATAATTCTTTCAAGCTACGTTTTGACTCCTGACGACATTATGGAATTTTTTTTTAAAAAAAATTTATTATAGAATTGGCATAAAACATAGTAGCTGAACTTTTAAGAACTACCAGTTCGATATATAACGCATCGAATGTAAATTTAAATATAAATAATTCAAGAATTCACTCCTGCCAAACGTTAACGCTTAAAAAAATTCGTGCATATAAAAAGTATAAAAGGATAGATCTACGGACCATCATAAATTAATTTTCTTTCTTAATTATCGTAAATAGAATTATTTGACAGTCTTTTTTTTTGAGTCTTTTTTTTTTTCAACTTTCGAGATCATGAAATTCCTGCTTGAGAATTTAAAATTTAGAACATCCGTTAAAATTATATTTTATCTTTTCTGCTTTTTATACTTTATCATATCACCCCTCATTGTTACAGCTGTAAAGAGACAAGATTTTAAAATATGCGAGCAAAGCTCTTTTTGTAAACGTAATCGAGCTTATGCCGATAGGTTAACTGCGAATCATTCGCTTATATCTCCTTATTCTGTAATTCAAGATTCTATCATAATCAAGGATGGTATAATTTCTGGTGATCTTATAAATTCTGAAAATAATATACTTTTCATTTTTGAATTGCATTTACTGGATATTGGTGCTGCAAGAGTTCGGATTAATGAAAAAAAGCCATTAAAACCTCGTTATGATAAAGTGAAAGATTGGGCCCTTGTTCAAGATCCATTGATTACTTTAGAATATACTTTAATCCCTTCTACTAAACCTGGGGTTACTTCTTTATCTTTCGGCAAAGAAAGAAAACAAATGGTTTCAATTTATCATTCTCCGTTTCGTGTCGAATTTTTGGTTAATGATATGCCAATTATCACATTAAATGATCGTGGTTTCCTCAATTTCGAGCATTTAAGAAAAAAAGAAGCTCCTGGTTTAGTTGATCAAAGTAACAGTGAAAATAATAAGGTCATAGAAGAAAATGATATTGATAAAGATCTCTGGAAGGAATCTTTTAATGGAAAAGAGGATCCAAAACCAAATGGTAATGTATCTCTGCTTACATTTATTTACTAAATTCGAAAAATAATTATTCATATCATCATTATTTAGGTCCTGAATCTATTGGACTTGATATTTCGTTTCCGGGATTCGGTCATGTATATGGTATTCCTGAACACGCATCAACATTTTCATTAAAAGAAACCAGGTATACAATATTTGAGTAATCATTAACGTTTATTCTTTCGAATGGCTCATCTTATTTTCTCTATATTAGAGGGGGTGACGGTGCCTACACTGATCCTTATCGTTTATATAACTTGGATGTGTTTGAATATGAGACAGATAATCCAATGGCACTTTACGGTTCCATTCCGTTTATGATGGCTCATCGAAAGGGTGCATCAGCTGCTATTCTTTGGTTAAATGCGGCTGAAACATGGATTGATGTAACTAAGAATAAAGAGGATAAAGTATTTAATGTCATATTCATAAAAAACTAGTAGTAAGTAAATGAGGCTCTGAGAATATATATGTTAATTCTTTTTTATTATTTGTTAGCATAGACTAGCCAGTCTGCTTGGTTTTGGTAAATCAACACCCACTTCAACCAATACTCATTGGATTTCGGAATCTGGTATTATCGATGTATTCGCTTTTCTTGGTCCAACAACCTCCGACATCTTCCGTCAATATGGATTACTTACTGGATTCACTGCGTTACCTCAATCTTTTGCGATTGCTTATCATCAGTGTCGTTGGAATTACCTCAACCAAGATGATGTTGCTGAAGTAGATGAAGGATTTGACAAACATGATATTCCTTATGATGTAATATGGTTAGATATTGAGCATACCGATGGCAAAAAATATTTTACCTGGGACACTGTTAAATTTTCTTCTCCTGAAAAAATGCAAAATACTATTGGAATAAAAGGGCGGAAGGTACATTTTTATGATGAGGACTTTGAACTTATTTAAATTGTTTTTTTTTTTTTTTTTTTTTTCAATGGTAATCTGTTTTAATGCTATTTAAATTTTTTTTGGCAGATTGTGGCGGTTGTTGATCCACATATAAAAATAGATA